ACGAATTTTCTCAGCTCGACACACGAATCCATGTTACATCTTACTGGGCTTAAAGTTAAATTTACATAACATTTCCGCAGCTTGCGAAGTACACTCACTCAACTACAAAAACTCAACAGAAAACACCAATCAAAGAGAGACAACTTCTCCTTTTGATATCACGTATCCATGCATCCTCGTCTTTTGGAAATGAAAATACATCCACTTTTGGTCCATTTTTATAATTTGCTTTGCATTTTGGGATAGAACAACCATACGCCATTTCTTTTATCGTAAATTATTTCAGTGAAAATATTTAAAACATATTTACAAAACAAAAAATATAATCAAGTCGAGAAAATTCAAACAGTAAAAAACATGTAAGTGTTTCTTCGTGTTTATACTACATATAGTGACGTCAGCACATAAGCTCCGCCCATCGAACAGGTTTCTATCTAGGTGGTGTTGGAAGAAGGTCACGTGACGAAAGCTTATTGCCCTCAGTTCATAGACTGACAAAAGCGTTCTGTCATTTACTTAGTTGCCTGAAGTTAAGACGGGCAATGCTAAATCGGCCTCACCAGGCCAGTTGCCATAGGAGCAGAACACAAGCCCATAGAATCGTTTTCCCGTTGATATATACGAGAGTAAGTAAAAAAAAAATATCTGCATTTTCGCCACTCTAGAAGGAATGTTTGTTATAGGTATAGACATATAAGTGTTTCTTCGTGTTTATACTACATATAGTGACGTCAGCACATAAGCTCCGCCCATCGAACAGGTTTCTATCCAGGTGGTGTTGGAAGAAGTCACGGGGGTCACGTGACGAAAGCTTATTGACCTCAGTTCATATACTGACAAAAGCGGTCTGTCATTTACTTAGCTGCCTGAAGTTAAGACGGGCAATGTATACACAAAACAGTAAGTCGAGTACAATATTACAAAAATTAAACACCAAAAACAAACTGTATAATTTTCCTACAAACACAAACATACCTTATCAAACTTAACCATTTTTATACACACAATTTCTCAACTATTAATCTTTCATATAATATCTTCATAAACCCTTCAATTCATACAAGAAAAAACTTTGAAGCAATTTAAACAACTCTCAACATACAATTTTGTACCTTCTAATGGTTATATATATATATAAAAATAATATTTATTGTTGAACCAAAGTATTGTTTCATATCGTCATTTAGCTTGTTGTTTGCTTGCTTTTCCCTACATTTGTGAAATTAAAATGTAGCGGGTTATTCGCATTTCTATCAACCTTTTACAGATTGGTAAATCTTGTTGGTGGCATTAACATCCCCCACCTACAAATTCCAAATGTTTCAGCAGGTCGTTCCGAATAGCGAACACGATTCCTGCTTCCGTCTCGGCCTAACAATCCAGAAAAATGTGTACCTACCATCAACCTCTTGTAGCTGACCAAGATCAACTAGTTTAGTTTGAGATATATATATATATATTTTTTTTTTCTTCATTTTAGGACTTGGACAATCATAGCAATCCTACGTTCAAGGTCTTTTATTTTTTTCTTTACTCTTTTGGAGAGTTCTCATGTTCCAAAACCCAGATAAAAGATCTTTAATGTTTAACATCTTTATTGCAGTTTTGGAAGCTCAATCATTTGCACCTAATGACAGGGACGAAAGTGAATCAGCAATATTTAGGTCACCCATCCTAATTCGGAGGAAATAAGTGCCGTCCTAAAAAGAGCTGCTTTGTTATGAATTGAAGTTACACAGTTAATTGCAGATGTTGTGCAAAACTGCCATTTACCTTTCACCACCCATGTGCAAAGTTTAAGCTCGTAACCTCCAGTGACATTCTTCACCTTGTTCTTGTCACTATCCCTTCAGCGCTACTGGATTTCAGGAGCACAAAAACATGTTGGTAGTGTTCTATGTACGCCTGCATATGACATTATGGTGGCCATTGCTTGTGCAGCACTATTAAAGCAGTATAACCTGTACTGACGCACGGTTTGCCGCATATAAAATGCTGAACTGATCGCAGGTTTTAAATCAGAATCATATATATATATATATATATATATATATATATATATATATTCAAACAGGTTTGGTTAATTAATTTAGACGTGTCATGTCAATTAGTTTTCGTTGTAATCCTTTCGCGGATTAATTTTTGGTAGATTTAGAAAAATGAGTAAGAAAAATACCAAATCTTTTCTTTCGAATAATTTTTATTTTCCCAAGTACTTTCAATCTCATATCAGACCATCTTCAGGGAGTTGTTTGCGGGTATGTATATGCGTTTCTGTGAATTTAAAACATTTCAACTGTTCGTTTTTTTTTACTGCTTATGCAGCGTCCTAGATTTCAAAGTTCAAAGTTCACGTGTTTTTTTTTTTTTTTCCTGTGTAAGGGGAATATTTTTTTTTTGTTTTTGTTCTTACAACGATATTTGTGCCAGAGTGATATCAGAAAGTTTTAAATCAGTCGTATTGACCGGCTAAGAGATGAAAGACAATGGCGAAAAGCGTCAGAAATCCTCGCTGTTGCACAATAGGTGGACTTGTATGCAGGTCACTAGGGGAACTGAAAAGTCAGAATAAAATAAATATACATCAACATGGTAATTTTCTCACTTCCTTTAATAAGGATACTAAGAAACTTGTCCGTAATTACAAGAGGATCCTATTAAAAATAAGTAGAATAATCAAGTGAATATTCCACTCATAGCTATCCGCAGCCAATGTATGCAAACAACGCCAGTAAGGGCTGCCGCGACGCGAATGAATCCGAAATGTTACTGCCGATAACTCCAAAATGGCGATTTTATCAAAATTATCAAGTCATTTTCGAATGAAGCGTGTACATTTACATCTAAATGTGAGTATTCGGAAAAATTTTATTGGAAACTGAGCGCGAGTCCTAATTTGCAAATTAACATGAAATTTAACAACTAAGATATTAAAAACATTATTTATTTATTCCTTAAAATGCTTATTTAATCCGTTAGTATATTTTCTAGACATTTAAAAAAATAGCAACGATTTAAAACTTTTTCAAAATAAATATTGAATTGTAGTTGTACATATTCTGAAAATTTTCTAATTTTTTATACATTTTTTTTATTAAAATGGTATCTTTTCAAATTTATTTATTTATATAATGATAAATAATAAATCTTTATAAAAATTAAATTATGAATATAACATTATACTTAGTTCACATATTTTTATAATCTTGTAATCTTGCCGAGTCAGAAGTGTACAGTAATAGCGGTGTCAAGGGAATAAGCGTCTTTTGACAGCCCGTTTTTTTTGTGGGCTCGATGGTTAAACATTGACAATATATAGCGGTGAATGTGACACAATTTCCTCGCAGATAAAGAGGAAACTTGAGGCAACAGAGATGTGCTCCTGCAGAAGGATGCTGAGAATGCCATGGACAGAGCGTGTAAGCAACGAGGAACTTTTAAGGAAAATAGAAACCGAAAGGACACTTATATTTAGAATCAGAAAGAGATAGTTGAAATTTCTACAACACATAAAGAAAGAAGGCTTGTAAAATTTGACACTCACAGAACATATTGAAGGTGAGATGGGCATAACTATTAACCTATCGAACGAATATTTGTGTAAATGAATGGCAGAACAGGGAGTAAGGGGAATAGTCTAAAAACAAACATTGATAAAAGCTTGTAGGGTTCAGCGTACCCGGATTAAAAAGAGAATTTAATACGGGATACCCTGCCCACAAAATACAACACAAATTTCAAGAAGGAACAACACGATAAGGAACGTTTGATGAAAATAGAACATTGTATATTTATTTTCTTGTGAATGGGGTAAAAAAAGATTAATGCTTTAGTTAGTTTAAGCAAAATGTGATTTTAACAAAAATGTCTGTGTTCACTGTCTTTTAACAGAGTAGCAGAGTAATGTCTGTTTCTTTTGTTTTTGTATAGGTGTAAAGAAAAAAGGGGCGATCAATTTAAGTTGAAAAAGAGAGTGTGGATCAGAAATAAAAGATAAGAGGAAAATGTACTTAGGAGTCAGTTGTAAATTTGTTGTTGTTGTTGTTGTTCTTTCCTACTCCACTTTCGGCTCTTAGTGTCGGGTTGAGTCAGTGATGGAATTTACTGTCAGTCTTCTGTGATATCTGCGCCCTTCTGACTGGCGACTGACTTGAAACTCTGTATTTATTGTTGACTTTTTTTTTCACACTGGCTCGTTACCTTTTTTTTTGGTTTAGCAAATCGCCTCCTTTCATTGGTCAGAAAATTAATTTCACACCTTATTGCGAAATCTGTTTTTGGTCGTTTTGATCCGATTTTGCGTGTGTGCAAATCTACTTTGTGTTTTTTAGTCATTTGTTGGAATGATATAGGATTTGTATCCTATAAGCTACAAAAGATAAAATGTTGTGGAAAGCCATGAACGCTCACGTCCTGTAGGGACACGGCACATAACTTATATAATTTAATATTAAAGTAATTACAAATAAATTCTTCTTTTTTTTATATGCCGTGTATCTTCAGGACGTAGGCGATCATAGCTCCTATCCCTTGTAATTCTCAATAGTTTTTTTTTGTCTTTTTGGTACCTCGTTCTGCCATCCACTTGCTTAAGCCCGCTAAGTATGTCACGCGTTTCTTCCCTTTGTCCCTCTTTCCTTCTATCCGCCTTGTGAGTATCAGTTTTTCAAGCCCTCCTTTCTCATTACGTTTCCCAGAAATTTCAGCTGCCTCTTCCTGCTGTTAGTTAAAAGTATGTTTCCTCTTTTTTGCATCCTTTCCAAAACATCATCGTTGCTCACATGTTCGGTTCATGGTATCCTTAGTATTATCCTTCTGTAGAACCATATAAATAAGTCTTGTAAGGTCCATATTTATTATATTTAGTTTTTAGTAATAGTTGATAATATAATTTTCATAAAAAATAAGATTAACAATAATTTTAAATTAAAGGGGAATAACTCTTTCCAGCTTTTTAAACAAGGGACGTAACATACTCTTGCCGTTTACTCAGTTTAAAAATGGTGGTCACACGTTTTGTCGGTCGTGTAAATTTGGAATGGTCAGGTAAAACTTTGTTTGAAATAGCCACTAATTTGAAAAACAATGGAGTCGGTAGAGTTGTGTACCGCCACAGTTTTCTAACTCGGTATCCAGAAAAAAGTTATTATCGTCTAACTGCCGTCACACCATATCTAGATGACTGGGTAAGTAGTTGATGTCCTTGTCTTTAAAAATGATGTGACCTTTTATTTTTTATTTTTCTTAGACATCAGTAAAAGACCCCCAAACTTTTATATTTATATTATATCTTTCCTTATAATGAGATTAACCAAGTTTGGTACACGGTTACAGAAGTTGGGTACCCACGATTTCAACAGGCTCACTTACATTTTTTGCCCCACAAATTTACGGGTAAACTTTATAAATTCATAAAGGATGTTTTCTTTTAAATTCACCCCAAATAATATAATGTTACTTTTTTTTTTTAAGCATTGTGCCCCAAGCAAGGCGTGAAGCTACTTATTGCAAATATTAATTCACCCTAAGAAATTATAAATTTTAATTTAAATCAAAGTTTTTTTTAATTAAATTTTGGCACGCCTTGCAACAACTCTAACCCACGGAATAAAAAATTACCAAAAATCAGGAAGTTATTTACATTTCGTAAGTGAGGTTGATGGAGGTACTTACAAGGAATTTTTTATAATTAAAAAAAAACAGAATATGTTTTTGGCTTGTTTATCTGGGTGACTGCAGATCAGATACTTAGGCACCCTAGTCGCCCAAATTTGGGGCGATCGCAAAGGTCAACTTAACCAGAGTGCGATGGAAGGCCCTTGCCCTGGGAGAATTTAGTGCGAAATTTAGTAAATATAAATTAAATTTTTTTTTTTTTATTTGGGGTGTTTTTTTTGTTTTTTTTTAACAGCAAAAAATCCATTTCATATTTTAAAATAAATTTCCGTTAACATTGGACTCCTTTTTTTTTTTTTTTTTTTTTTTTTTTTTTTTTTAAATTTGTAAAAAAAAAAAACTTTGTTCTTGTTGAGATTTTTATTTATTTTTGGTCCAGAATTTTTTTTGAAATAAAAACGAAACAAAAAAAAACAAATTATTTTGTTTTTCTGGTCAGCGAAGAATCATCTCCGTTCTCTGAAAAATGTATTTATCATTTCAAATCGTAAAGGAATATGTTTTTTTTTTTTTTTTTTTTTTTTTCAAATGAGATTTTTTGGAGAAAGTTTGTTAAATTTATTAATAAACAATGAGTTGGAGTTGTAGGTTTTTTTAAACACGCCAGATCAGGAATATAGGAGTAAAAATAAGTTCACCTATTCAAATTCAATTGTCTTGTTCACTCACACTCCTTCCTAGTCTTTTGAACAAGAATAGAGGTTTTATCCCCTGTTTCCTGTTTAGGATTGGGTTTCCGTTCCCTTTTAATGTCTACTTCAACTCTATAATTCCAACGACTCTACCTAAAACTCTGAAATGTTATTTACTATTTATTTACCATTCCATCAGTAGGATTATAGATTTACACCCCCCCTAGTCTTTTGAACAGGAGTAGAAGTTTATCCCTTGTTTTCTTTTTAGGATTGGGTTTCCAGTTCCTTCTTTTCACTGCTGGTGGCCCCTTGCAACTTGGTGGCATTATTTCCTTGTTTGGGGTGGTGCCTCTTACTTTGTAACCTTGAGTGGTTCTTGGGCCTTGTACAGGATGAACATCATAGTAAAATAAATAATTAAATTTTATAAAAATTAATAGTGGATCAAGTTTGCTATGTAAATTCAGTGTGGAATTCAGCCTCGTGAAGTAAAATCAAATTTGTCCATACAACATAATTTCTTAAAAGGTAAGAAAAAAAAATTGAAAGTCATCATAATTTGGAGTGCTTAATCAATAGTTATATATATATATATTATATATATATATATATATACACCTCCAGATTACAAATTACGAAATATTTTAAGAAATAATGTGGTATGAGCATATATTGTTTTGGCTTCTGCATAAGGATAGGCTTTGGCCACATCATATTGAAAAATCGTAAAGCCTGGTCAGTGCCTAGATGAGTGATTGCTTGAGAATATCAGGTGCTGGATTCTTGGATGTGCAGGTGGTGAATGGCTCAGAATCGTTAATTGTGGCGTTGAGTTCTAATTCCTGTTAGGTTTGTTATATTCATTTATATGCAGATACCTTTGGGGAAGGTTTGAATCCACCACTTCACCCCCCCATCTATGGGTTAATTAGTAAGATTTGTATCACTAAATCATTATTATCTCTGAAAACAAAATTCTTACAATTTTTTTTTAAAATTAAGATTTTTTGGCTTTAAATAATCTGCAAAGGGTTGATAAGCTGTAGAAAATGAATCAATCAATGATATCTAGTCGAGTGCTTCTGCGATATATTTACAGATTCTTGATAAAATTCAAAAAAGAATGTACAATATTATCAATCCTGGCATATTGGCTTCAGTCACTTTTCCATTGTTGTAACATGGCGTCCTTATGCCTTTTCTATAAATACTTTCATGTTTGTTCTCTTTGTACTTCATCTTTAAGAATAGCACAGTACTAGATTAGCAACAAGGTCTCATCATTTTACAGTTGAAACAACTAGATGTAACCATAAGTTTGATGCTAACAGTTTTTTTATGTCACACTTCTTGCCTGTGGAAATCTCTTCTGATTTCTTGATTTCCACTTAAGTTTGATCTTCAAAAGTTTAAATATCATGTCAATTGCTATCTTCTATTTTCTTGAATCATTCATTCTTTTTAATAATTATTTTTCTTAGATACTTTCACTCAGTTACTCCTTACATCTTAGTGGCGTTATTGCCAATCCTGCAGACAAAGAAATGCAAGTTCTAATAGAGATTCTCTTCATGTTTTTACTACTAATAAAAATGAATTCAACAGACTATATTCATGCATTTAAATATTTTTTGTAATCATAATCATTGTTTTATTTAATTTTTTTATTTGAATTAAACATTGATTGATTGATTTTGCATATTGAATTTTTTTTTTTTCAATTATGCAAATATTTATTTTATTTACATCATTTTCAACTAAATACATTTACAATAAAATTAAAATTCCATATATTTAAAAATAATTTTAATGATCTTACTAATAATAATTCCAAATGTTTGTTGGTATCATAATAATAATAATCGTATTGTAATTGTGTTTGTTCCTCACTTCATTAATTTTCGAGACTGTTATGTCTTTTCAGTATTACAGAGAGTGATCCTTGATTTTGTCCAACTGGGCAGAATACAGCGGCCTCTCATTTTTGAGGGTTGGAAGGGCCCTACTAACATCAGTTATGTTTTGTTCCCTTTTTGTATCGTTTTAGTTTATTATTGGGTTCATCTCCCTCCCCTTTCATTTTTATTCATCCATAAATTTTTAATTGTACATATATAATCATTATATTTTTATGGCATGGGGTGCATTTTGTAGGTCCCCCTTGAGAGGATGCGGTATTATGAGGATTGATCGGTGACTGACGAGTTCTTTGGTGAATGTGGACATTGTAATGTATGAATGGGTCGTGAATCGGATTAGCTAGGTATAAGATAGTTAGTGAAGACCAACCTCAACCCCTCCTCTTTTTCGGCCTTGTGCCATAATTGTATTTCTTAATACAATAAATATAGTCCGTACTATATTATGGACTATTCTGTTTTAATTGTGGAAAGACAAAAGACTTATCAGAGACACTAGTTGGTTTCTGTGAAAGAAGTATTTATGTCTCCTGTTAATACCTCATAAACAATGGACTATTCCATTTTGATTCATGAGAAGACAAAAGTCACTGTTAAAAAAAAAAAAAGGTAGCTAGATGTAAGTACCGTTTGTTTGTTTTGCAGTCAACATATTGTTATCAAGAGACCAAGTAAAAGCTCTGTTTTTTGCATTCATTTTTGAAACATTTTTTATGATGACCCTTGTTTTACATCAAATGTGACATTCATCTCAGAATGTGATTTTCTTGAATCTTCTCTTTTAGCATCGAAAGAGTGGTTTAGCGTATGGTATCAAAGTGTTTCGTGGTAAAGTATTTGAGAATCCACGCTTGATTAAAGCTGGTAACAAAGCAGACTGGCGCTTGGTGCCCATTGAGGAAGAAGAGGAGTTCTGTCGGCTTACTGAATCCGATGTGAGGCCCGAGAGAATTATACCTAAATTTGCAGCTTTCCCTCCATTACTTGAAGTGATGCTACGCCAGGAAATGATGGCGAAAGGAGAAACACCACCAGATAAAATGCACCTGCCTCTTCGAATTGCAAAGAGTCATTTCTCCACCCCAGTTCAACAATCAGACCAAATATTGTCAAATAAATTGTAAATAAAATATTTTTAATAACATTTTTGATTTCATTATTTTTTTTATTTTTTTTAACATTTTCACTGCATCATAGATTAAGAATTGTTGCCTGGCTGTGCTGGCCCACTTTTGCCATTTACTAGAAAGAAATGACTATAAAGTTGATGATGGTGGTTTCTGTTGGGTGCCACCATTTCGGGTTTGATCCGATATTCTAAAATACTGGCTAATATAATCACCTTCAACAAACAATACAGTAAAAATATGCCACAAAGTAAGTTGTATTGTACACTATTATATGTCTTTATTATTTTAGGAATTGCACAAAGTGCTAATTTGATGCTTGGGACTGACATATGACAGTGTTTTGAAAATGTATGTCTGTCAACAGCAGGCAAGTTTTGTAAAGACATATAAGTCAGCCTACGGAAGCAGAAGTGATAATGAGTGGCTAGTTTTTCTTCCATTTTATTTTTGTTGCTTTTCATTGCATTACTTGGGTGATTTTATCTTTTTTGATATTTTATAACTTAAGCAGGTACATAAGGTTTAAAATGAATTTTTAAAAATGAAAAAGTTTTCTTAAAGCTTTCATTTTAGTTTCAGTTGAAAGCTGAAGGATTAAATTTACTATTTCCAGTTAGCAAAATATTCTGCTGCATTTCAAACAGAAATTATATTGATTAGAATTGATTTTTGTTGTTTTTCTAAAATAGTTGATTAGCACCCTTTTTTTTACTCATCTTTCTTTTAATTCTCTGTATTAAAAAATCTTCCAAAAATAAAATATATTTCTGAAACTCAATTTGAGGAATATTAGCTGATTTAAAGTATAATTAATTTGATTTGAAACAGATATTATTTACTTTAAGTATATAATACCACAGAAATTAAGTTTTTAAGCAAACAGTAGCAGTATTTTTTAAATGACAGTAGCCATGTTTGTGTTTGATGAGGCAATGACAGATTGTTGTTCTACAGACCTTATCTGTAAAACATAATTTAAGAAAATGATGTGAACACTTTTTTTTATATAATTTTTTAAGTACTTAGTAATAAATATGCTGGAAAATATTCTCCATAATCTAATTTTAGGAATGTTGACTTTAAATTTTCTATAGTCCTTCCTGATGCTATAAATTCCCAAGTTGGCATCTATGCGGATGACACCACAATTTATTCCTGCCTCAAAAACAAATCTAGTGTCACTGACAAAACTCACCTGGCCGTGCGTCTCAAAAATGACCTCCAATTGGTTGTGAACTGGGGCAGGAATTGGTTGGTCAACTTTAATGCTTCAAAAACAAAACTGCTCTATTAATCACTACAGAGATCCTTCCCTGCCCTCCATTAGAATGTCTGACGCTCAACTTCTCGAGAGCAGCTCTCTGTGGCTGCTCGGTCTCGCATTGACTGCTGACCTGAGATGGAACAAATACATTGAGTCAATTGCTTCGTCCACCGCAAGGAAAGTTGGCTCCCTTTGCCGCGCCAGGAAATTTTTCTCCCTGGAATTGATCCTCCAGATCTACAAATCAACAATTCGCCCTTGCATGAGTATTGCTGCCATATATGGTCTGGTGCCCCTTCTGTTTGCCTCAGGGTTCTTGATAGGCTCCAGAGGCAGATATGCAATATAATTGGCCCTGCTCTGGCATCTCGTCTACAGTCCCTTTCTCACAGACACGCTGTCGCCTCTCTGCCTGTTCTACAAATACTTTCACGGCAATTGCTCCAGGAGCTGCATTCACTAGTTCCCAGACTTCCATGAGTTCAAGCGGCCTCTGGCGGGCTAGCATCCCGCTCTCACCCCTTCACTGTCAAAACTCCTAAATGTATCTAAAAGAAACACCTTTGCCCCGAAAGTATAATTCTGTACAAAATATCTGTAGTCAAAGCATAAAATCACATACAAAATATTTTGGTTTGGACTTTAAATAACTTTTGTTTGATATGCTGCTAAATAAAATCAACCAACAACCTAAATTTTAATCCATGCCATATTGTATGTTTACAACTTGTTGTAGTAGACATAGTAGTCTAAAATTGTCTGGATTTCTTAGATAAAACATTGTCAGTATAAATTTATGTCTAGTTTTCCCTCCATCTTATTTTATTACTCTTTGTAATATTCATTTTGATTTTGCATTTCACTTGCACGTTGCAATAAAAATAAAATGGAAAGGACAGTTACTCAAAATAAATACAAGAACATCGACAGATTTCCATTTCAGAATATCAAAGACTGTTCTGTTGAAAATTCATTGGTATGTTTTTTTTTTTTTTTTTTTACAACACCATGGGTGATAAATTAGCAGAAGACAGTTATACTGTCCATCATGTTCAGTTGATATTTGCTTATCAGGTTAGTTTCAAGTATACCAGAGAGCAGTGAATATGTTAATAAATTTAGTTTCACATAACAGACTAAAGCATAAGTAGTCTTTTATAGCAATTTCAAATAGTAATTCTTACAAAAAACATCAATCAGTAGCATGCAGGTGGGATGGCAGAGAGTGTGACGGCCCTCAGGCATCCATATTGAGAGGACATATTTAGTTTTTGAAATTTGAAATTATCTCTTAACTTAGTTGTACAAATCTTAGTCCCACAAGCTGGTGTGAATGTGGATCTGTGTTTTCATAAGTGAGACCAGAGTAGGCACCCCTACTTGAGTTTTAGGGGCATACAATCAAGGACTTAGTCCCAGATATCACAAAACCTTTGCATGTCACTGGTTTCAATTGTACTAGATAGCAATAGACATGTTAAAGTATTATATATTTTTTTTTTTTTTTTCAAATTGCTTCTAATAGTTGGTCTATTGTAAAACATGGAAATTATAAGATCCCCAAGTGTAGACTAACTTCCCTCTTTTGGAAAGAAGGTGGATTTAAAGTGCAAAAAGACATTGTGTTTGTCATAAAAAATCTGGTGCATGAATACCAGTCTAGGAATTGATTATAATATGGGGAAGAAAGGAAAATATATAATAAAAATAGTTGTTTTTCAAATTTACTACAGGTCAATAAGAGTTAACATGGCTGATTGGGCATGTTTTTAAAAAGGTCAAGGTTTTTTCAGTATTGTTATAATCAAAACGGTTTTCTTTTTTACATCATCTAAAAATGGAGGAGTAAATGTCATAAAATTATGAATTGAGAGTTTTAACAATAGTGAAAACATTGCTTTCATTTTTTCTTTTTAATTTTTAGAATCATTTGGCTGAAATTTTGTTGGAAGCAATGTTTTTCTGATTTTATGCCATCATCTAAGAAGCAACAATTATAAGATGGGATAAAACTAGTAATAAAATAATAGTTTTGTAATCTCAAAACGACCCTACTTTTATTGACATTGAACAATACTGGTGTCAGATGCCTTATAGTATAGAGGATAGACTAGGAATATTGAACGCTTAAGACGTTATGCAATGTTCTTTATATATGCGTTTCGTCTATGGTCAAGTGGTCTACTTAATTCAGTAATGAAATTGCCTATGTTTGTTCACTGGCAATCTATGTTCAAACACAAGTTTCAGCAGCGACACTTTATTCCTATATAGCAAATAGTGAAAATGTTTCTAAAAAACAACAACAATAATAAGTTGGAATAAAACTAAAACCAAAAAAATAAGTCAAAATGCTTCATGTAAAAATCAACAATAATAAGATGGAAGTGATGTTTCTGTAGTTAAATTAGTTAAACACTGTCTATGATGTTTGTTTAAATTTGCTTTTAATTTACTTGTATAGAAGCTTAGCATTTATTTGTAAAAAAAGATTTATATTTCTGGCTTTTAATTATTTTGATCTGATCAAAATTAGTAAAAATGAAAAAATTACATTTTACCATCGAAATATTTATAAAATTTGCTTTCCATATTTCATTAAAGAATTGAATTATCTACTGTTGATGCTTACTGAGCAGCCATTTTATTGCATTATAGGAATTTTATGTTAAGAATTAGAAATACAGAATTCTGATATTAAAAACATTTGTTAAAAATGGTGATAAATCATAAAGGATATGTGATACATCCTATTGTAGGTTTTCTGCAAATATCTTTACCAGTTTTGTCAAGAAACCCTTAGGTGGCACTGTCAAGCACTTATAAAAACAGGACACTTCCAGTCTTCACTCTTTTTTTTTTTCCTCCTATATCCCAGGTATGGGGATATCTTTCACTGGGTGACTGAATGTTCACACACACACACACACGTCTATCACCCACATAATTCTTAACTTTCAATGTCTTTTTTCTTTTACATGAATACTGTGTATTTTCTCTTTTTTTATACTTGAAGTTAAAAATGTGGCAAATCTTCTCATAAATTTGGTAGGTCTTCCATTGGATCTTTGGGACTGCAGTAATTCAGTTCGAATGTCACTAAGAAACCATGACACAGCTGATGCCACTTGAGTCAAAAAGCATTGTACTTCTGAACAGAAATATAATGAGACCAGAATTTTAATCTGAAAAATAAATGCTTTCTATTAAATTACCAAAATGGTTTAATTCTTTTTGATACTATAAAGTGATTTGTTTCCATTCTCAGATTGAAAAGAAAACAAGCAGAATAGGTTCCTAAAGATAACTTGCTTTTATAGAACCAGTTTCTGGATATCAGGGATGCCATTATTGTATGTATATAAAATATATTAATAAATATACATATTATTCCTCACTGGTAACACAACTCAGAGTTTCATGTACAATACAGTCTTCTGGTAGAGACTGACCATTACATAATTTAAATTTGAATAAAAATATCTCGTTAATAGAATGCTGGCACAGTCCATATATGAAGAGTATGAGTTTTGTATTTCAAAAATATATGTTGCATTTAAAATGGACATAATTTTTATTTTATATATATAAAATAAATGAGCATAAATATTTTATTTTATACATAGACTAAATGGATTAATGGTATTTATTAAAGAAATGACATTAAAATAGACTGACCTAAAACTATATATAAAAAAATTATTATTTTATATTTAATTTAAATGGGTAT